TCGTATCCTTATAATCTTTTAGTCATATTTTAGGGCCTTCCATTATTTAATAAACCTCCAATTCAAATGTGTGAGACCTACGTATTCTCGCACTATTTGATCGAAGATAATTAAATAGGGTTAGCTGTCATACCCCAAATTTTCCCCATCGATTTCAATGTTCATTTTACTTATATTTCAATTTTATTACTATGTTTCCAAAGTTATAAAAATTCTCTTGTTTCAAGGGGTGTACTCTTGGGCCTTATTGGAGGGGGGTTAAATGCATAAAAGGGGTGTATTGTCTCTAAATGGACCATATAAATCTGATGGCCCATTAATTTTTTCTTATAATTAGAGAGGGGTGTATTTGTGGTTTAGATTTCAGCCCATTACAAGTTTGTTTAAAGAGGGGTGTGTTTGCTGCAAAGAGAGGTATGCACGTATAAAACTGTTGGCCCGTTAAAGTTTTATTCAACTTAATAATAGGAAGAGGGGGTTTATTTTTCAGAGGGTCCATTACTTTAGAGGCCTATGTTCAATATGTTTTAAAAGGCTGTATAAAGAGAATGTTTGATTTTCTGAATCGCGTGGTCCATTAAGAGGTTCTGAAGGCCCATTGGTTTTTCTTTTAAAAGTTGAACGAGTCAAATGATTCTTATCATTAATATTATGATTAATATAGTATTGTTATTTTCATTATTGTTAATTACATTTATATTATTATAACTAATATTATTATTGTATTATCAAATATTATTAGTATTTGTGTTTTAAATCGTTGACCAAAGTCAACCCAAGGAGTTGGAAACCCTAATGCATCACGGTGGCCCTATTCCTCGTCAACAATGCCCAAGCCTAGAATAAAAGATTTCCAGGTGCTAATCAAATACAAATTACATCAATAATCGAATCAAATCTTTCAATTTACTAACACAATCAAATCTTATTGAATGAATTACATATACAAATTGTCCAAATACATTGATAAATACAAAAACCTTAAGGTTTCAATCTCTAATTTATAATCGGATCAATATGAGATTCTTCTAAAACCTAATCTCTTAATCAATCTTCAATCAATAAATTGTAACAGCAATCCAATAAAAAACTTTCCTAATCTATCTAAATTCCTAACCTATAAATAAACCTAAAATTCTAAGAACGAGGGGGAGAAAATTGATTAACAAACAAAGAATGAAAGAAGAAGAAGAGTTGAGATATGGGTTTCAAATTCCGAAACCCTAGATCTGTGGTGCTACATCCCTGTAATCTTCAAGTCATCCCCGCCACCGCACCATCGTTTCACCTGCAAGTAGAAGAAAAAGAGGGAAGAGATCAGCGGAAAGAGAGAAAGCAGACGAAGGAGAATTAACAAAAACGAGAAGATTCACACCTAGGACCAATTAAGCCCTACACTTATCTTAGGTTGTTTAAATTACTATCATTGATGTTTGTGATCGCATAATTGAAGGTTAGATTGATGTTTTTTGGGAAATTTGGGGTTAAGGGTTAGGTTTTGGGGTTATGGTTCTTATGTTTTGGGATTAAGGTTCTTGAGGTTCATGGGGTTTGTATGAACATAGGGTTAGGGTTCCTAAGGTTCTTCCTAGGGTTCTAGGTTTTGGGTTTAGGATGAAGATTCCGGTTGAATATCAGCCAAAATTCTGGGTTTTACGGTGGTTTTAGGGTGATTCGTAGCGGTCGGCACGACCAAGGGGATTTCTGGTGGGCTGTTGTTTAGAGAGAGGTCAGAGCCTTTCTCTCTAGGATTTTGTATGGTGAAGAGATAAGGCATAGAGAGAGATATATGAGAACCTAAAAATTAATAAAATAGAACAAGGTTGAATATATAATTCTCTCTATTATCCCATGTGTAACCTTACTATACTCCCTAGTCAATATGCTCATCAACACCGTCCATTCCTCATACTTTAGATCGTTGCTTCAGAATTAACTTTTGATAGCCACATGATCCGAATCGAACATCTCAGACCGTGTTAGTTCCCTCTACACCATACATCTGCCCTCACATGATCCAAATGAATCTCCAACAAAGTTTGTTCTGGGCCTTGGCCCATTTCTATTAACACCCCCCCCCCCCCCCATTTTCTTTTACTCTTTCTTAACCATAAATTGCACCCCACCTACGAAAACAGGCCGAGTTTAAATTCTAAAGTTGGGCCTTCAATTTCTACACCCCTAGAATTACTACCCAGTTTCAATTTGTACCCCCTGCGATTTGGGCCTAAATCTAATATCTGGATTTAGGGCCCTGTTATTTACACCCTAGCATTTTACTAATCAACTAATTTTACACCCCCTGCGTTTTTAATTAAAATTAATTTATTTTTATAATTCTATTTATTAATTCATTTATTTATTTACTTATTTTCTATTATTTTGTATAATTAATATTTAAATATTTAATATATTTATAATGAGTTCTAAAATTGTTTATATTTTAATTTAAATTCTTTCTTAAATACTAACTTATTTTTTTATATACTTTAATTGCATTAAAATCCCTTTTTTCATGCATTAAAAATATTATTTTCCCGTATTACATAATATATTTGAAAACATCTAACCGACATATTACTAATAATTTTCTACTAATTTAATTCAAACCTATATATATTTTCAAAAAAGATTATGGAAATATCTTCTATCAACTGCGAACTTTGTCTATACTTCCGCTATTTACACACCCAGACTTGGTTCAAGGAGAATTCGAGATATTTCATAATACATAAAAAAATACTAACCAGTTTAACTACGAACTACGAATTGGGACTTTGATTCCTCATAAGAGGATTCATAGGCATACGACTTAAAATCATGGCGAGTTCCCCTAATTAAAACTAAAACCCTATTCCTAAACCTTAAACCTAAATCCCAATATCATTGTCAACAAGGTAGATGAGGGGAGCCTAACACCTTCCCTTCGTCTAAAGCGATTCAACAACTTAGAATCTCTGATCAAATCAGGGTTATCCTTTATATTCTCTTCCTAATGATAAAAATTAATGGTGGTGACTCTATATTTTCAGCCGGTTATTACACACGTCATTATATCATCAAATCAGTAATCATCACCAAAACATTACTTAAGTCATGATATCATCAAAGCATCATTTAACAAAGAATCGTGCGATGACATAAAGAATGAAATACAACCTCATTGACTCATGTACCAAACTTCACTGATGAACATTGGGTAATCACCCTCCAAAGATCTCTACCATAGGATTGATTCCTTCTTGGAACCAGAGCACATCATAATAATGAACTCAATCCACACAATAGAATTGAGGCCTTCACTGAAAAAATGTCCTAACATCACAGGTGGACCAACATCCTAACATTCACCATGAATGTATGATGCACAACAACATTAATACTTCGACCACGGCTAGTAAATTGCATCATCATTCATGTAATCATCATATAAACATTTTTCACATGACATTTGTATTTTTCAAACATGCACATTATCATCTTCATTTACCATAAAAACATAAAATACATCATAGTACAACACATCATCATCATAGCAACATCAAGTTCATCATTAAAACACGCATCACATTAATTCATCGTGTAATAATAAAAAATAATCAATAACATAGGTACTGGAAAAAACATCATTTTACCCATTTTATTTCATAAAACTATAGTTCATTACTTTGACTTCCCAATGCTTCGAGTGGTGCATCAAATGGAGTTCGGAAACTCAACTTACGACATTTTTAAATTTACAAGTAGTTATGCTCGCCTGAGGGCTTCCCGACAAAGTAGTCTACTCAAGTGATGCTCACCTGGTGCTGCGCAACAAATAAAATACACAGAGTCACCATCAAACTCTATTTATCCTGAAGGAAGGGAAGTTATTGAGAGAACCCCAAAGAAGTGGATAAGATGGTCTTACGACCAAGAGAAAGGGTAAGGAAGTCGGTTACACGCGGGAAAGGTATTAGCACTCCACGCGTCTGTGGTACTCTACAGGATCCACTTTCGTCTTCTCTAATCTAAGGGTGTGTAAACATTTATGTCTAAAGTCTCACTAATAAAAAGGAATGCATGCGAAAGAAAATACGGGGAAAAGAAGGAATATTTACAAAGCTTCGCTCGCCTAGGCCCCTCGACCTAGTGCCTACGTACTCCCTCGTGCAATAGGAAAGTCAGAGTGTCGTAGTTTGGTTCACATGTTTTGGATTGTTTGTGTTTTTTAATGGAACAATGCTAAGCTTCGTATTTTACCTCTACTCGACCCTGAGAGACTCACGCGTCTGTAGTAGAAAGGAACTAACATGTTCATACCTGACAAGGTATCTTCAAAATAAAAATGCCCGAAGGCAGATAATTCTTCGCTCATGACTCTTTGGCAAATAGACATGGTACAACCCGACCTTTGGGGATTTATGCGTCATACCTCCTAGAGTAGAACTAGCACATCCTTTTGAATGTTTTGATGAAAGGCCCAAAGGCGAAAAGAGTTTAGATTGGTTGATTTTTTTACCTTGAAAAAGGGTTTCTGTAATTTTAGAGTATTTTATGAGTTTGAAAGGAAAATAAAAGGTTTTAGTTTTAATGCATATGCAAAAGAGAGAAGAAAAATGCTAAAAGAGAAACTAACTAGTTTCTAATCCTAATGTTAGCATGCGATTTTGATCCTAAGGTTGAAGGATGAAAGGGAAATTCTAACTATGTTAGTGTACCAAAAACCTAAAAGCGAGGATAAATATCCTATAGGGAACATGCAAAGATCAAACTTGTTATCTCAACTCTAATTGTGTGACATCATCGATCATCAAAAGAATAAATCCATAAAATTCTATAGGGAGCATGCAAAGATCGAAGTCGTTATCTCAATTCTAATTGAGTGACATCATCGATCATCAAGTGCGAAATGTCTTCTACAGATGTTTAAACAACGACTTCGAGTGCACGCTCTTTATTTCCTACTTCTCATGATATCTAGAAAAGCGATAAAGCATGCATCTCTATCCCTACTTCTCATGGCATCAGAAAGTGGTAAAGAGTGCAAGAGATGAGATGGTAAAATAAAGTCACGATGATACCTAACGGAGAAGGATCGTTTCCTCTTAAAAGTCACGCAAGCGATAAGAAAACTCTACAAAAGTTGCTTCGCACAAGTGATCAAACGAATTAATCTCCAAACATTCCACATCACAAAAATTTCATGAATACTATCACAAACTCTTAGCAAAATATGACAACAAAATGATAACTAAGCATAAAAAAGAGTAATAGAAAACTCTAATAAAAATTCTAAAAAAGAATCCTAAAATTAATGAGTGTTTCACCTATTTTTATTCATGTATTTTTACATCAATTTTATTTGCAAAAGATCAACACAAATCATGCCAAAATTTAATAAAAAAGCTAAAATATAACAAAAAATTCTAAAACAGTAGGAGTGTGAATCTGAATGTGATGGAGGTTCAGAAATTCTGGTGCAGGCCCACTCACTTCGATCCAGTAGCAGCTTTGCATTACCGCCCATGTTTCTTCAAAAAAAAACAAATGGCTATGGGCCTCCCTGAAATTGGCTCGGTCCACCAAGATCCAATAACAAATATCATAATATTTTATTATACTCTTTAATTAAAATAAAATAAAAAGCTGAAATGAGCAATTAAAGGACAAAATTGAAAATACATCGTTTAGAAAGGGTTTAAGGGTTGAAAAAGAGTGACGGTTGGACTTCACATGTGAAACGCAGAGGCTCTCTTCTTTACTTCAAAAATCGTGGAAGCACAATCGCACATTGGTATTTCTTCTTCTTTTCATCTTTCTCTCCGCAAATCCTCAACACCAAGCTTCACTAAATCGTACACACGCAACCGTTCGGAGACAACATCATCCAAAGGTTTTAAGATAACGAGGTAATACCAAGCGTCCGAAGATATTTTTTTCCTTCTTTTCTTCTACTCCTTTCTTCGTTTGATTTCTGGATTTGTGTGCCTCTGAGTTGCTATTGTTACGTTACCTTTACAGGATCAGTAGTGATGATGAAGAAAGATGAAGAAAATCCGATGAATATGAAGGTTGATGTATGAAATTCGCGGAGAAGACGATGAGAGTCCGAGAGAAACCGCTTCGATCGAAGATGATGAAGGTTTCGCCAAATCGCTGACGCATGAAAGCTTCTAGGTTGACGTGGTTTCCGAGCTTGAGTTGGTTAATGCAGAGTGATGATGGTGATGAAGAGTGCGACGAAGATTGGCAGCAGATGATGATGTCACAGATCGAAGATCGAAGAGTGGAGTTGTGATGTTGTTGAGAGGTTGTTGAGGCGTTGATGGAAGTGTGAGGTGAAGGTTGAAGGATTGAAGGTGATGATGATGGTAGAGGTTTAGAGAGAGTCTCAGAGAGAGAGAGGTTAAAGAAAAATGGCGCGTGTGAATGGTTCTCTAGAAAAAAGTGAAGAATCATTCATTCAGGTGAGAATTTCTGTTATATGGTTTAATGCATGTTTTCAAGCATAAAATAAAGGCATGGTCTAGGCATAGCACAAACATGGTTGAAGCTAGCATCTAACACAGAGGTCACTTGAAGTTAATGAAGGTATGAGGCAAAGTCGAAAGGAAAGTGGTGAAGATTGGCCATTCATGGTGATGAAGATGGAGATTAGGATCGAGGATTTTAGGACACTTAGAATTTGATTTCTTTTGTAAAATTCCCCTCATAATGTAATACTAGATATTTGTATTTGAATAATCATGTAACCTTGTATTGCAATGTAGCTTGAAACGTATCGGATTTGAGTTTGTAATGCACAAGGTTGGTAATCTTTGAATCATGCTTTTGAAATCAATGATAGAATTTTATATTTTCCAAGAAATTTATTCTTAGCACATTACCTATTATTTCTTAGATTTTATGTGTTGAAGTCCATGGTATATGATCTTGCAAATGAAGTATAACCTTGTAGACTTTTGACTTCACATGACAGACTTCCCAATGTCCAAAGTATGACATATTTTCCTTTGTTTGCAATAATAAGTTCCAAACCATAATATAGCACACTTGAAATGATCAATCTTGCTTGGATTCATTGACTTTTTAAAGGACCATGGATATGACTTTTTATTGAAAAACGAAAATGAGTCACCCGCTTTAAGCATCTTCAAATGACTGAATGACTTTCCTTATACCTAAGCATATTTATCCAAGAAACTTTGGGCTTTAACTTGAGATAAGAAAATGAAGAATGAATGTATCCTAGAAGATGAATATGGAAATATGTATGATTAAAATAGCTTTGACACAAAATTCTAATAAATCTCCTTAGATGAATATCGATAACTCCAAACTCCATGAATAAGAAACCACGATCCTCTTGTCTTCGGTGCCTTTTGAATGAAGAAACGTCTTGAGATATTAAGAAGAACCAAAGCATTTGCTCAATAAGATCCTTAGTTAAGATCATCGATGAAACCCTGAGGATCTTACCCTTGACGAAGATGTCAACCTTATAGCTGAAGAATGGAAAAATAAAAGAAATAAGGGTTTGAATTGGGTTTTTTAAAACTTAAATAAAAGAACTCGTTGGTTATCCTGGTTCGTTTGAACTCAAACTACTCTAGTCCACCCGTCAAGGTGATATCGCTTCTCTCAACGAGGTCTTAATCCACTAATCAAACTTGATTACAAAGCTACTTATGACAATCGTCAAAGTCTTCTTGAGTTTAAACCACAATCTGGTTTTCTCAAGGAATTCACTAAACAATATTGAATAAAAGTGTACAAAAATGTTTTCTAATAAAACAGTATCACAAGTGATGTTTTACACAATTTAGATTTTGGACATTTGAAGATGATGAAGATTGCTACTTTGCTGTGCGTGAAAATCGTGAACGATTTCTCCTTCAAACTTTGTTTATATAGGCGAAGCATGTAGGAGCTTTTGGAATGTTGATCAATGATAATTAAAGAGTTTTTCAAAAATAGAGATCCTTGTTCCCTTTCACTCGTTACATTTGAATAGCAATAATTAATTTGTAACGCTTCGGAACATGTTTGCTTCAGAAGATGAAAGTTACTGTTACTTCTTTCCAGAACTTTAAATCAGAAACACAGAGTCCTGTTTGCAGTGGTAGAACTTCTTTAAGAGATGTTTAGAATCAGAGTTGAAATAGCTATTTAACTCATCTTCTGAGCTTCTTCCATCAGAACTTCTCTGCAAAATAAAATACAAATTTAGGGAGCATAATTGTTCTTTTAATATTTGTTATCATCAAAACTCTTACAAGGGTTGTAGAATCAAACTATGTTCTAACAATGTCCCCCCTTTTTGATGATGACAAAAACTTGGATATTTCAATAGAAACAAAAAGAACATGAAGTAGTTAAGGTCTCCCCCTGAGTTGAGTACTCAGATAGAGAAGTAATACTTCTCTGAAGTTTGTTCTGATCAGAGTATTTGATGTGTCCACTTCTCTCCCCAACAGAGTTTGTTCCTGTTTTGCTTTCAGACAAGAAAAAAACAGAAGAAGTTATGATATTCAAAATGTTTGAGACTGCATCTCGATACTGTTATATTAGAAATATCTTACGTTCTTCCCCTTTTTGTCAAGAATCAAAAAGAAATAAAAACACTATAAGCAAGAAAAGAGGATTTGTATTCAAAAGGTTGCAAGAAACACATTCAGAAGGAAACAAATAAAATGAACACAGTACAGAAAAACAAATATCAAAACTAAGATTGAGGTGGAGGAAGTCGTGTGAACAGGACTTCCAACAAATTCTTAATCTGATTGTTTGACTCTTCTTGTTTTCCTATCATCCTTTTGATTTCCTTGCATATATCATCCTGCTTGTCTAGTCTCTCCTTGAACACTGCATTCACTTTCTTCAACTCCTCCAGAGTTTGCAAAACCATAGATGAAGAGGATATATCAATAGAAGGTACTACCTTTTCAAAGCAAGTTGCGGTTGATTCTGACTAGGTAGCTTCTTTAACTTTCTTGCCTTTGTCTTGAACCCTAACCAGAGACAAAAGATCGAAGGATGGTTCATCATATTCTGAAGGCTGGTGATCTTCACAGGGGACATTGTCCAGCAAAATGAGAGGTTTCTTTTCCCAGTAACGCGGAACTTGATCCTTGAAGACTTTCAGATGATCATAGAAGTTCTGTTGAGCAATTTCATAACTCAACTCCTTAAGTTTCTGGGACTCAGAATTGAACCATTTTCTGAACTGGTTCTAGTGTGAATTAGAAGCACCGGGATTTATATTATCTAAGCAAGCTAGTTTTAGAGATTTAACCCATTCAACTATTTTTGTTTCAAAAATCAGCAAATTTTTACCAACATCTGCTTTGGTGATTTTTGGTTTTGGTACGATAATTTTTTGAGAGCATGAGACAAGATTGTCCAAAGCTTCTAAGTCTATCACAGTGAAAAGGGGATCTTCTGGATGGTTGACTGGAGAGGGAGAATCAGAAATAACAATGGGTGATTGTGGTGATTTTGGTGGAGTGGAATGATAAGGAGATGGAATATCTGAGATGTCGTGGATTGTGATTAGTTGTGAGACCATGAGAGGGAAAGTAATTCCAGGAATGAATGTTATGGTATCAGAGTCAAAAGTTGGATTTTCTGAGGAGGGAGCTTGAAAGTTTGGATTTTGAGTGGGGAGCTTAAAAGTTTGTATTTTCTGAGTGGGGAGCTTGAAACAGCGGATCAAACTGATCAATATCATAAAGAATTTGAGAAAGTTCTGGCTGATTTTGGTCAAGATGGGTAGAAGGTGGTTCGTCCAGAATGTTTTCTAGAGTAAGTGAGGGGTCAAATTCAATGTCAAAGTCATAAAAGGTTTGTGGTGATGGATCTTCTGTGGATTTTGGATAGGAAGGGTTTTCAGATGTTGATAACATAACTGATTCAATAACAGAAATAAATGATGAATTACCTTTCTTCTTAGCAGCCTTGGGAATCTTCTGAGAAGATTCTTCTCCAGCAGCTTTCCTTTTCCTTTATTTTTTTAGGGCAATCTCCGGAGGATGTTGTCTCAGATCACGAATGTTCACTTCTGGATTTGTCCCGTCCATTTTGCAAGCCTCCAGATATCTGACAATAATTTCTGGAGAAGCATCTGTTTGAGAGAAGAGAGGAAAATCCTTTAGAGGTACTATTCTAGTTGTGATGACTTCCTTGGTTGTTATTGTTGGATCCTTCTTAATGGTGTCAATGATCTTCATCTTCTTCAGATTCTTAGCGTTTAAAGGTTTACCAGCATATGCTTCCAGAGTGCTGACCTGTTGAGCCTCAGTCAGATATTCTACCAGTTTGTCTTCTGTCAGAATATCTGAGATGAGCCTGCCTAGAGGTATCCGGTCCCTCTTTGTTCTTTCTTCTTCTCTAGTCTCTTTGATGCTGGTCTTCATATGATTAAACAGAAGATGAGGAAGATTAACCTTTGCCTTGGTTGCTATGAAGTACATAAGATATTGTTGATCAATGTTGATATAATTTGGAGAACTTGTGGGTTTTCTGTGGTTGATACAGCCCAAAATAATTTTTGACCAAATTCTGAAGTAGTTTTTCAGATCTTTGATTTTGTTTAAAAGTTGACCAAAAGAAAAAATCTCTTTTGAAATCTTTGTTAGGTCAGAGCATTTGTCTTCCATTTCACTGCAACGAATACCTCCACTGTCATGACCTATCAAACGCCCAATGAGATCTTCAGAGATTACTATGTTCTTTTCCATCACAAAAGAAATAACTTGATGATTTGAAGCAGTAGCGTGAATCCAGAATTCTTTAACTAATCTTGGAAAAACTGGACCTAGTAGACGATCAAAATACTTTGTCCATCCTTTAAATTCAACACCAGGAGTTAGATCGTAACCGTTTTCCTTCATAATGACGAAGTCCATAATGAGTTCACACATAATTTCCAGCGAATCAATGAGAGTTAGGAGTATTCTTGAGGGTTCTTCGTACCTGTCTGCTGTTGAAGAAAAAGACCCAGGAACATTTTGAGAGCTTTGAGAAGTTTGAGAAGAAGCCATTGTTCAC